TTTGAAACTGTCTCATTGTTATTTGTTTCTCAATAAAATTATGGAAAAATAAATAAATAAAACACTCTGGGGGCCAAGGAGATGGCTCAGTAGAAAAAGCATCGGTCGGGAAAACAAGGGCCAGAGTTCAATCCCTGGTTCCAAAAAAAAAAAAAAAAAAAAAAAAAATCACTCTGTATTTCACCCTTGCCTCAGGCAATCCTCCTGCCTAAAACTCCAGAGTACTCGGATTATAGGTGTCACCACCAGACCTGGCTCTTCTCTCCTTTCATAAAGTATGGAAACAAAGGCCCAGAGAATATACGGGACCTACCCAGGGTCACTCTATACCCTACAAATCCTACTCCATCCCATCTCTTGCCAAACACTAATCCAACTTTGATCATTACAATTCAAAAGAGAAGTAAGGGGGCCCGGAGATGGCTCAATGGATTAAGCGCTTCCCTGGCAAGTGCAAGGGCCTGAGTTCAATCCCTGGTTCCACCAAAAAAATATAAATAAATAAATAAAAATAAAAAACAAAAGAGAAGTAGGAAAACCAAAGCTGTACAATGACAAGGAAGGCTGGGGAGTAGGGGCAGGTTTGACAACATTTTGACAAAATGCACCTGTCTCAAAAGGGACCCTGGTTAAACTGTGAAAGGAAGATTTAAGTGAGAATATGCTGGGGCTGTATCTCCAGCTCCCTACATTCAGTCATCTGAGACACTTAAGTGAGAAGACAATGAAAAGGGACATGCTAGAGTGAAAGCACCAGACAATGAAGGTGGATGGAAAGAACTCAAATAACATGGGGGAGGGTAGGATATGAGGGTGTGGAGCATGTGTCTTGGAATTCAGAGGATGCCTCTTGCCCAACTCCAGTCACAGAGCTCAACCCTGTTCCTTGGTTGCCCAGGTCCCCCAAAGGCACCTTAAAGGCCAGAGCATGCGACACAGGCCTCCCTCTTTTCCATCCCTCCGCCTTCTAGCAAACAGTTTTGCTAGGAGCACCAGCTCTCTTCCTGAATGCCCAAAACTTTCTGACCTCTTGTCTTTTGTCACAGCTCCACTTTCACTTGGATTGTTCTCACATTTTCTGTGCCTGTGAAAGATCCCACCATATTTAATGAATTGGGGGAGGATAGGCGGAGGCTGAGGAACAATATGGCAGTTAGCTCCCGGCAACAGTACCTTCTCTGTCCTCATCCTCCTCATGCTTACTGAAGCCAATGTGGAAGCTGCGGTCTAATAAAAAAGGAGGAGAAAATTCCTGCAAGCCCTCTCAGATCTGGAACCAGAGAAATCAGGTCCTGTGCTCTGCTGTGATTACACTGGGAACACTTTAATCCCAGATTTGTTTTAGCAGGGAGATTGTTGCCTCCAGAAGGGCCAGGTACAGACTGCCAGATACCAACAAAGAACAGTGGAGCAAAACCACACATTTTTTGCCGCTGGCCCATCTAGGCCAGGAGGCACAGAAACTGAGCCAGGCTTTTCTGAGCCAAGCTTTAAACTTAGCCCTGCAAGGAATCGGCAAGAAATGCTGTACTCCGACTCAGCAGAACTGGGTGTCCTGACGAGGCCTCATTAGGCCATGAGCTCATTCAACTCCCAAAGTCCTCTTGGGACTTAGGGTCAAGTGTCATTGTTCCCTGAGACTTCCTTTAGTGTACTCAAGGAAAATACTAAGAGATTACCTTACCTGGGAGACACTGATATGGTATCTCAGAGCAAACTCAGGGAACCTCCTACCTGGCTGTAGGAAGGAAGGAGTCATTCCTAGCCTTGTGGTCACTTTACCTGTGACAAGATGTCAGCTGGCCACCAAGATGAAGAAAGTTCCAGGGTCACCTTATTAAGGTCACAAAGGCATAACCCTCTGAATCTCCATAACTAATGACTATCCTCAAGCTTGCTTGCTTCTGCTCAACCCTCCTCTACATTGAACTGTTTGGGACTGGTAAAGACCCAACAGAACCCAGAAAAAAGCTTCAGGAACAAACACTCCTCACGTTTTTCCTCCCATCCTATCTAACAGGGCTTCCCTCTCATCACCCCATCCAAGAACACCATTCCACCCCCTCCAATTATATTCTTCAAAGCACTTATTCACTGTCAAAACTCTTCGGTTCGCTTGCTGTTTTCTCCAATGGATCCTGGTTCCAGAATGGTAAGACACACAGCGAACGTGCAGTTCCTAGCAGAATGGGTCGCTCAATAATTGGACATAATTCAACAAGTGAACCGTATCTGAAGGCCCTACTTTGTGCCAGGTGCCAGGTACTAGCTGGGGACAGGACAGGAGGGCCTGCTCTTGTTTCACCGGTCAAGGAGGAGGACAAGGACCGGCTGAGGGAGCTCGGCACCGCTGCAGCCCCCCGCCCCCTCCCCGGCCCCGCGCTCACCCGCTGCAGCTCGAGTTCGATCTCGCCGGCCTTGAGCACGATGGGCCCGCGCACTGCATACTCCACGGCGCGCACCTGCGGGTTCATGGACTCCGGCGTGAGGATGCGCCCGCGCCTCACCGGGAGCACGGCCGGGGCCTCGGCAGGCGCACTGCTCCAACGGCGGCTCCAGGGGCCAGCGGCGCGGGGAGGGCAGCCCCGTCGGGCCAGCGCCGCCGCCCGCTGCATCGCGCGCGGGCCGGGAGGTTTGGCACAAAAGAGAACACACGCGTCGCGCAGGGCCAGCGGCAGCCGCCCGCGCCTTCACACTCCTAGACTAAGGCTCCTCGCGGGAGCGGTGCCAGCCTTGCTGCGGGCCTGGCCGCCCATCCCCCGGCGGTGAAGACCCTTGCCGCAAACCAGCCGTACGGAGCGCAGAGCGTGCACAGTGCCCGCACCCGGCCAGCGCGTCTGAAGAGGCCGGAGCCGGCCCGCCACCCCGCACACCCACCTCCACGCTCCGCCCGGCCTGCGCTCTGTCTCCTGGGCCTTGTAGTCCTCTCGCTGCTCCGCGGCCGCCGCACAGGGCCAAATGGACTACAAGTTCCATAATGCCTCGCGCTGGCCGACGGGGGCCGGCCAGGAGGCGGGCGCGCTTGCTGGGCTGGACTGGGGCTGGGCGGGCTCTTTGTCCTGGCGATGTAGAAGGGGGTTCTGCCGAGGGGCGACGGGCCCCAGTGCCTGTCCGAGCTGGGTCCGCCCGTCTGGGCTGATCTCAGCCTTTGCAATTTAGAATTGTTTACAGTTTTTCCCTGCAGACGCATCCTGCCTATCTCCACCCTCACCTCCCATCACCTGCAAGAACACGGGCTCGAGATGGTGTAGTCCTTGCCCCTGGTTTCATCATCCAGGGACGTGGCGTGGGGCACTCTACAGTGGTTGTGGGAGAAAAGTGAAGTTACGCGTCTGAGTTTGACAGTGCGTCCCTGAACCCCGTCACCAGCAGTTTCTTTGTCAGCAAAATCTTCTGAGGGTTGTTGTAAGAATTAAAGATTCATACACCGGTGGTAAGGCTTTTCCTGACCATTCCATTCCTGCCTAGTTTTATTTCCTTTCTAGCATCCAAAATTACCTTGTTTAGCTACTTCTCGCTAGGTTATGCACGATCCCACACCATATAAGCTCCAAAAGGTCAGGGACAAATTTCTTCGCCTTATTTACAGCGGCTCTTAATACTTCCCAGCCCACAGAAATCAGTAAATATTTATTGAAAAAGGAATGCACAGCACAGAGTAGCAATCATTTTTGATGAAGGTGTTGCCAAGACGATAGGTGATCTGGCTCATCCAGAGCAAGTGTAGATGGTGCAGCAAGTAAGAATACACAGTGTGGACACTGAGACATCAAAATCTATAGAAAAAGTAGGCTAGCCACTTATTGGAAATTCTGTGTGGCTGTGTTTTCAGCAGAAAAATAGCCCCGAATTCCCAGAGCGCAGTAAATATACATATTCGTATTAGGTTTGTTAAAGTTAGGTACGTATGCTTAAACCCAGCAGTGTAGGAGAAATGGTTCTGGGAAATGAATTGCGTTTGAACATAGTTGTGTAATCACTTACTGTATACGTGACTTTGAGCATGTTTTTTGGCCTTGGTGTGTAAAGTGGGGATAGCAACACCTAGCTCAAGCAACCACGGAGGAAGTTCAAAGAGGTAGCTTTGTAAAATTCAGAGCTTGGGTCTTAATGCTATGAGTCACACCTGTTAATCCTTGTCAAGACAATGCCGTATGTTAGAGTAAATCGATTACCAGTAAAGTGGGATGGTAGAAGAACTGAAATCAAAGTTATCTCTGAGCATTCCTGCAGGGGATAAAAAGCAGGTTTAACTTACAGGAAGGTTACTGAGAAGTTGTTTAGGCTTCTAATGTACTAGTTCCACCCCCTACACCAGGATCTACATTGTCTTCTTTCCAGTCTCCCAGGCAAGATGTTCTCCCACAGTGATCTGATCTTCTCTGAGGATCTTCTCTACCGTCTTCAATATTATGCCATCACCCAGTTTATTCAGTTAAGGGGACAAACAAACACGTTTCCACTTCCGAAATGTGCTTAACCTTGCGCTATGTGATTAAATATAGTGCACTGTGTCCTTCCTGGTCTCTCTGCTTCTGATCTGTAGGCATAGAGAAGCTGAGAGGGAGGGCTTAGGTGAACAAAACCCATTTGCACAATGAGAACAAACAACACCTAGCGCACAGCCCACTTACGTGGGCTGCAACGTCATCACTGAACAAGCAGTTATTGTCCCTAGTATGTCCTCTGGTGACACGTCTCCCTGAGATTGCATAAGAAGGAAACTCCCTTTCTGTATTATGAACAACAATTTATAAGTACTTTCTTGTCCAAAAGGGCAGTGTCATGACCATGTTTCAGAGGTTTAGAGAGGTGAGGTAACTTGTTAAAGTGGCATGCTAAGTGTAGAGCTAGAACTGGGCTTCCTGATGCAGTGCAACAGTGTGCCATCACCCACCTCAGGTACCAACACCCCACTGTAAGAAATGGCATGAGGCAGAGACCAGCTGAAACCACCAGGCTTGTGTAAAGGCAACACAGCACACAATTTATTGTGTCTGAGTGCAGGTAGACAGAAGATGAAAAGGTCAGGCAACAAAGAGAAGTGGGCTTTTGTTACGGTTTGTGTATAGGTGTCCCCCCAGAGCCTTATGCAGTCTTGGGGCACCTTCTGGAGTTTGTGATTGATTACTGTGGGTGTGGATGCTGCGCCTGCCCTGGGGCAGGTACTTTGCATTACAATGTAAGGTGGGAAGAGAAGTTAGCAGCTTGAGCTGCTGCTACTCCTCCCTTGTGCTCTTGCTCTTTGCCGCCACCATGAAAGGTTGCCCTCTGCCGTGTGCCGCTCTGCTTTGGAGCCAGCTGAGTACAGGCTGAAACCTCCAGTAACTGTGAGCTAAATAAGCCTTTCCTTCCTTTATTTTGAGTGTCGGGTATTTGTCCCAGCAATGAGAGAAGAGTAAGACAGCTTTTAAAAAATAGGGTTTGAGGGGCCAGGGAGATAGCTCAGTGGAATAAGTGTTTGCCTGGCAAACACAAGGGCCTGAGTTCAATCCCTAGTTATAGGGTTTGAAGGGTCAGCTAGATAGCTCAACCAATTAAAGTGCCTGCTTAGGCAGACACTGTGATGCTGTGATGGGTTTGATCCCCCGTGTGCTACCAGCCCTGCCCCTGCTCCTAGGGCGCGCTGAGACCTGATTAAGACTGGGCATAGTGGTGCACACTTGTAATCCTAGCACTTGGGAGGCTGAGGCAGGAGGATCATTGAAAGTGTGAGACCTGCCTAGGCTACAAAGTGAGCTCAAGGTCAGCCTGAACTGCATAGTAAGGTCCTGTCTCAAAAAGACAGACAGACAGGACACAAGCACAGGCATGAGACATGTGGTAAGATCTTACTAAACATCAGTGGCTGAAGTTCTCTGGATGTCTTGTGCCTTAGCGGCAAAGTACTTGAGGCATCTAGTGTAAATGTCTGGGTGTCTTTAGATGTCTGGGTGCTCAGATTCCATACTGCATCTTCTCTCTTCTGTGACATCCTGTGTTTGCCAAGGGCAGTCCTGGTGCTGAGCTGAGAATGTAAAAATGGGTATGTTTGAGAAACACAACTATGCTGAATGTGTGAGAGGATAGTGTTTAGTGTACTTGTGTTGCAGAATCCAGGAGATCAGACGTCCAAAGGAAAGGTTCTAGTTGTATACACCTGGCTTAGGGGATCTGGGGTAGGGGGCAAGACAATGCAATAACCTAGCCTTGAAAGATGACCTAAACTGTATTTACAGGACATACCTGCCAAATTATCTGTACCAGAACAAGAAGTTATAGTTATAGGGGAGGAGGAAGAGTTTGAGGGGAATTGCTCTTGAAGTCCTGCTTCATTTGAAGCTCTAGTCTAGCTCATAGAGAAGGTATTCATGATCATTTCTCCCAGGTTTTATCTTTAATTTTTAGAATCTTGCTCCTGCCCCACCTCCATCTGGTCTAGGAAGCAAAATAAAGGCAACGCTTGTGGTATTCCCACCATTATCATCACAATTACTAATCAGATTTTTTTTAATATAGAAAAGCTTTTAATTGAAGGTTTTGGGTTTTTTTCTAAAAATATGAGAGATGGAAGCAGTCCCAGAAGTAGGTTGCCTCTGAGGTCCTTTGTCAGGGATAATTTATACAGCAGAGTCATGATGTGGATACAACATGGGTCAAACTAGAAAACCAACACTACTCTAACCATTGAAACTTCATCTTGGGCTGGTGAGATGGCTCAGTGGTCTAAAGCACCTACTTAGAACAAGCTTAGCAAAGCACAGAGACTGCAGTTCAAACCCCAGCACCACATGCCAGCCAGCTCCGCCCCCTTGTGGGCTGAGCTGGCCACACACACACACACACACACACACACACACA